GTTGGCAGGTTGGACCAAGTGTTAATTTGTTAAAGAATTGTTCAAAGCGAGTTGAACACGTTGTTGACCAGTTTTAGATCGGAAGCAAGTTTTGTACGCTTTAATTTTTCTTTATTTCTCATTTTCCTTTTCGTTAAGAATGACAATTGAACTCTGATTCATTTTTGACGCATTTCGTATCGAGAGCGAGTTTTATCCACTTTGTAATTGACAGGTTGGGTAAATTGTGAATTTTGTTAAAACTGGGCCGACTCTTACAAAGCGAATTGAACACAATGTTGAGAGTTTGGGGTCATGAGCGAGTTTTATCCACTTTAGTTTTTTTTATCCTTTTCCTGTTGGTTGAGAATGACAATTGAGTCCAATCGTGTGGGTATACAACCTAATTCTACCCAACCAAAGCGACTTGAACCGTTCTATAAGTTTTCGGCGGGAGCAAGTTTTATCTTCTTTTTTTTTTTGTAATTGGAGGGTTGTGTCAGGTGTGAATGTGCCCAAAACTCGGTTCAACCAGGTCAAAACGAGTTGAACCTGGTGTTGACGAGTTTTGTGCCGGTAGCGAGTTTTACCTTTAGTGTTTTCATTTCGCTTTTTCCTTTTGTTTGAGAAAGATCAGTGAACCCAAATCCATGGGTATCCAGCCTAATTTGACCCGATCAATGTGAGTTGAACCTTCTCAAACCTGCAATTAGTCCAAAATTTTCATAAAGGAGAACCACGATTACCTCAAACCCAACAAAAAAAAACACCAAAAGAGTACGACTATGTTTGACCCAAATTTTAGAAGTTTTATGTTTCAAAAGTTGAATCCAAGTCAAACACCTGTAAAGTTTCGCTTTTTAAAAAGTTAAAGTTTTTCGTAACTTAAAAGTAGAAGTTCCGATTTGACAATAGAAAATAGTAATTACCATATTTTTTTCTAGAATATATAATTTTCTTTCATTTATATCATTATAAAAAAAATAAATTGAAAAATAGTATTATTTAATATGAAATAAATCTAACATGATTCATTTTAAATACTTTTTTATTTTTAGAATTTGTATTCATATTTTATATTAGAAATCTTTTTTAGTTATTTTACATGACCTCTTATATCATAAAGTAATTCTGATAATTTTTCATCTAATCATTCAACATCTTTTTTAAATACTTCTTAAAAAGATCTAGAGAAACTGCTTTATATTCTGCAAAAGTTACAGCAGGATCAACTACTAGCCATACAAATTGAAATAATAGCGTCATGAAAGAAGTTTAAACATAAATAATCTATTCGACGACCCTTCTACCTTATGCAAGTTTATCAATTATTTGTTATTGTAAATAACAAACCTATAAAAAAATTATTAAGAATGAATTGAGATTATTTTCACTTTTGAGTTAACATTAAAATTATTACTCTTTAAAATATTTATTTTTCTTATACGTAAAGCGTTGGCGAACGGGCTTTTCCTAGTATTGTATACTCCAGCCATAACCACCAAAGCTTGAGCTTGGAGTTGGACCTTCAAGTCTCTCGCACCGTGGTGAGGAACTTAGGATTAAGCTTATCTATGTTTCGTATCTTCATACTTCAAGTTCAACAGAGCACCTACCTCACATGTCGAATTTGAAGACAACCTTCCTTGACTTCGGGAGGCAAAATTTAACAATTTTTAGTTGAGGAGCATAATTAGAAGCAGTGAAGGTATTTTGAAGCAAATTTCGTAAAAGATATGACCGACAGTAGACTTGACGTGGGAGTTAAAGTGGTGTCCATCTCAATTTGTCGTTAATATTTTTAACGGCACTACTAATTTCGTTGATGTAGTTATGAGAAAATTGTTATATTTTTCCAACAAACAAATCAAATGTGGTTATATTTTTATTATTAAAAAAATAATTATAATTATGACTACATGCATAATTTGTCTTCATTAAGTGATGCTGAATATACAAGTAATTGGGCCAAATAGAGCCGGCCCGAAGATACTCAGCCCATAACTCGCCGTGACATTGCTTTCCTTCCTCCCGGCGGCGTACATGTCCGAGTCAGAGAAAGGAAAGGACAACTAATACAAAATATATAGAGATCAGAGAGAGGGGGGGGGGGGGTAAATTAAAGACAGAACTTCCGCCGGCGGCAGCAAACCGATTGCAATGTCGTCGTCGAAGCCAAGACAACTGCCGGATGAACTAGTGTTGAAGATTATTTCCCATCTGGGGACGCTGAACGAAGTGGTAAGATACAGCAGCCTGATGTCCAAACGGTGGAAGGAGGTGTGGCGAACTGGCGATCGATTGGCGGCGGGGTCCTAGATTTCGACAAGTCCGGCAACATCAGAGCGTATATCCCGACCGAAGAAAAGCTCCCCTTCGCTAATACGGTCGACCAAGCCCTGACTTCACTCGCACATCATCGAAACTTGGACGGATTGAGAATCGGGTTCGACTTTTATGGGATGGCAGAGCAAGCCCGGAGGTGGATCGAATTCGGGCTAACCAAAACAGTGAAAGAACTGACACTAATCTCCTCCTCGCCGTATCTCCCTCCCCTGACCCTCGATTCCCTCGCCAAACACGACCTTAGCCGCCTCGAGGTTCTCGAATTCCACGGCATGAGGAAGATTCCTCGGGCAGTTGTCCAGCACATCCTCTGCAACTGTCCATCCCTCAGACAATTTGCTCTGCGCAATTGCAGTTTCAGCGAATTAGGAGGAGCGGTACTCGTCATCAATGTCCAATCCAGCCACAACAACCTCCAGAGCTTGAGCTTGGATTTGGAAGCCCCGGGCTCCGAGGTTAGGATCGAGCTCGTCTCTGCCCCCAATCTTCACACATTCAAGTTCAGCGGCTCGCACGTCGAATTTGGGGACAATCTTCCTCGACTTCGGGTGGCGTGGTTCGGCGGGCGGTGGATCCGCGAAACCAGCTCCCTCCCGTGGTCTCGCGCTCAATTTGAAAAATTCGCACCGCGATTGGACCGCCTCGGGCTCCAATTGGGGACGAATCGCTTTCGTCCCCGTCTCGTCTCTCCTGTACCGGAGTGGTTGTTGTTCGAGAAATTGAGGTTCTTGGGTCTGGATCTGTTTATAAATACGTGCTTCGCTCCTTCGAGTTTGGTAGACTGCACCGTCCTGCTGGTTGCAGCTCCGGTTTTGCGACAGCTGACGATTCGCTTCGCGAATGCCTTTGATATGGAGAACCGGGAGAGGCGGGACTCGAGTGCTGCAGAGTCGTCATTGGAATGGAAGCATCGCGCTCTGGAGGTGCTTCGACTGCACGGGGTGCATCGGGATCGGACTGCTTCGTTTTTCGTCTCTGCTCGCAGAAGACAACTGGAACTTGCGGCTTGCATCGTCATGAGAGCGCCTTCCCTGAAGCAAGTGCTTATTGATACCCGCCACCCGAGCTTGCTTAGCCGTCCTGCGGCCGAATTCAGACTTCCCCATGAGGTGGATGAAGATATATGTGAAGCCAGGATGGAGCTGGAAACTCAGCTTCAAGGTCGCTCTGCTAGCCCGCATGTTCACTTCACTTATAGGTGATGGTAATGCTTGTTTGTTACCAATATGAACAAAATAGACATGGCTCAATTTGTTTGCTCTTGCTTCTTCCCAGATGTTGTGTGCTTTCCTTCAAAGGGTCGGATGTTGATAATTGATATTTATATGTACAAAAGAATAAGTAATTTTGATATTTTTTATTAGTAGTTTTTAAAACGAAAGAGTAGCACCAGGAAAATCTCTAATCAAATCTTGATTTTATGTAATGATTTTTGTTGATTGTAAAAAAGTAGTGATTCTATAAGTAAAGGAAAAGGTTTGGTGTGAGCCGCAACACTTAATTCGCGCATTTTTGTATTCATTCACGTCATTTGGTGATTATTCACCTAATACGATGTTTATTCATGTGAAAGTAACGATTATTTACAAAAATCCCCAAACGTTCTCTTTTTCTCCCTAATAATTTGTATCGGTCATATTTTGTTGAACTAAATTTTGTTTTTTCAATTTTTCTATAAAAATATGTTGCATTTATCGTAATCTACACTATGATATTTATTTTGATATATTTCAAAATTTAAAAATTAGTTTTACAATTATACGAAAAAATAACAATGTGTGTAAATAAACACAAATTGCATGAATAACTAAGGGTGTGCAACGGTTCGGTTCAGTTCGGACCAGACCAAACTTATGAGAACCGCGATCCATTAATGAAAAACAACGCAAGACCAAGGACCGGACCATTGTTGCATTCAATCCATTTGGTCCGATTTGGCCCGGTCCAAATATCAGCTCGGTCCATCATTTCTTCAGTAATTGTAATATTCATGTGAACCAAAGACTAGACCGCATTATACTCGATCTGGTGCGGTCCGGTCCAAACTTCGGTTTGATCCGGTGTGGTCCAGTACAGACCAGACCATTGCACACCCCTATGAATAACTATTACTATTTACTATTACCGTGAGTAAGTAACCTCCACTTTACGTCAATAAAAATTAAAAACCAATATGACGTCAAGAAAAACAAATTTACATAATTATAAACATAAACATTGGTGAATTAGATGTTGTGGTTGTTTAGGTGCCTTTCCATAAGTAATTAGGCCCTTCGCACGAGAAAAAAAAAAGTAATTGGGCCCTCATAGACCATGCACGAAGAAACTCGGCCCAAAACTCGCCGCCATTGTGTTCAAACGAATCAAACCGAATCGAACAGATAATGTGCTCGTATTGGTTTCAAACCAAAGCGCTCAAAGGCTGGAAAGCAACAAACTCACAAATCTCCAGAATCTCCAGAATAAAGCATCTAACTTCCACAAAATAAAGGCTCTCCAACTAAATTCACAAGAAGTTCCCAGGTAGCAACACTTATTAAATCCAGGGCAAGACTAAACAAGTTTAAACCAAAAAGAAAATTTCAGTTAGTTGGAGACAGTGCAAAAGAGCAGGACATTGATGAAGTTACCGGCAACTAACTGGCTCCGCGCAAGGAAATCGAACTTTCTGCAAGTCATGATGATGTTTCAGCAGAAGATACATCAGCACCGGGATTTTGGGCTTCCTGTAGCTTAGCAAGGCGCTCAGCATGTTCTCTCTCACACTGACTGATGCCCATTATTATATCAAGCATTGTTCCCGTCGTGCCAAAGAACACCAGTGGGGCTAACGATTTCCGCTTTATCCCCACAGGAATTGCTAGCAGAGCGCCTCCTACTGAAAAGAACCACGTTCCCATAGCACTGCACATATTGAACATTTAGCTCCTTCGTCACAGTTCTATCTTCATATAATAGTGAAACTATGCATAAATTTATGAATGGAATGGTCAGTAGATGGAGCAGAAGGCACATATAGAAACAGCACTGGTGTGTGCACTCTGTCACATTCACCCATAGAAAGCAATGGAACTATCAGTTCACAGAGATAGCCATTGGGGCACTGACGCTAGTGTCGAATGTGTACAAGAAACCAGAAGTCAGGCATCAGAGCCTGATCCCAGTTCCAAATCCCAGACCTCCCATCCATGCCAGGTGCAGCCGAGCTCATTGGCACAGAATTTAGCATATGTTGTGATGCCAGACTACTTGATCTTATTACCAATCAGTGTGGCAGTTCTCCCTCCATCCAACCCATAGAAAACCTTACTTACCACTACTTGTTCAAGAATTTCAGTAAACCCTATTTCTCTCAACAAATATAGAGCAGTCCTAAGCACATCACCAGCTGTCAACAGAAAATCTCTGTCCAACAAAGATTGAGGAGCTAGGAACCATCCATCTCCTAAAACACCAACAAGGTACAGAAACCATGAACCAGAAGATTGAGGAGAACAAAGCATAATACGTGTTCTCTTTCCCAGGCACTAGCAATTAGCAGCTATGACACTAGTTAGTCGGAGTTTCCTATGATTTTCCTTATAATGTTGTGCAAACTGAGAATCAAGAGATATGGGCAGCAGTGGGGGGAAAAGGAAACAAAGAATGCGCAAGAGGAAAAAAACAATGACTGGAGAAAAGGAAACAGAAGGTACTTGGCAACTGAACACTCGTCTAGATGTTTTTCCTGCTGCCCCGCCATTCTTGATACCTTCACCCTGTTTCTGGAGCAGCTCGCTAGTTGATTTTCAGCAGCCTCTGGACTTATTCCCCAATATTCCCTTCAATTCCTGCTCCCTGAATTTCCCCCAATTTGAACAGAGGAATAACTCATCAGCGAAGAAGATGGATTTTTCAGCAGGCGCAATATGAACTTCAAGGAAGGGAATCGAACTAACTGAAAGGAAAAAAGGAGTCAGTAGCGAAGCAGAATCCAACCATGGTTTTGCTTCCCTCGATAAACGAAGAAATGGAGAGGGTGGAAGGGGGAGAAGACGGCCGGCGTACCTGGATCAACGAAAACTAGGGTTCCGAAGCTCAGCGGCGTAGTGGTGAATATCTGCTCTCAGCTTCCCGAGCTCGATCTGCTTTCACCCTTTGATTCGGAAATCTCTCTCCTCGAAACCGATCCTGACTTCACCAGTCGATGGAAGGAAGAAGGAGAGAATCTGTTCATTTACATGATGACTGATGAGTTAAGTAATTGGGCCCGCGGCCCCGAATAAACTCCGCCCAACGCAGCGCCGTACAAGTCCGAGCCCAAGACGGAAAAGGACAATGAAACGCAAAAGGAAAATAATATATATTAGGGAAGAGAGGGGCGAGACTGAATTCATCCGGCGGCAGCAAACCAACCAATGTCGTCGCCGTCGCCGTCGAGGGAACTTCCGGATGAATTAGTGTTGAAGATTATTTCCCATCTGGGTACGGTGAATGAAATCGTAAGATGCAGCAGCCTGTTGTCTAAACGATGGAGGAACACATGGCGATCGATCGGCGGCGGGGTTCTGGAATTCGACAAGTCCGACGAGTTACGGTGTAGGAACTGTATCACGGTCAGGGAAAAGCACTGCTTCGCAAATCTGATCGACCAAGCCCTGACTTCGCTCGCTGATCGTCAAAACTTGGACGGCTTGAGAATAGGTTTCAACTTGTGTGGGATGACAGAGGAAGCTTGGAGGTGGGTGGAATTCGGGTTAACAAAAAGAGCAAAAGAACTGACGCTGATGTCCTACTGCTACAATTGGGCCACTTTCCCTCTCTTGACCCCTGATTTCCTCGCCGGACACGACCTCAGCCGCCTCCAAATCTTGGAATTCAAGGGCATTGCCAAGATTGATCCAGCAGCTATCGCCCACATCCTCTCTCGCAACTGTCCGTCACTGAGACGCTTTGCTCTACGCGATTGCAGATTCAGTGAAGGGGAAACGGTAGTTATCAGAGTATGCTCGAGCAACAACCTGGAGATGCTGAGCTTGGAGTTTAAAGAACGGGATTGTATCGTTAGGGTTGAGCTCAGCTCTGCTCCGAGTCTTCATACTTTCAAGTTCCACGGAGCAAGTGGCTCACATGTCGAATTTGGGAACCACCTTCCTCGACTCCGGGAGGCATGGTTTGGTGGGCAATGGATCCTCGATGCCAGCTTCCGCCGCTACATCCCATTGTCGAGCTTTCAGTTCCACAAGTTCGCACCACGACTGCACCGCCTTGGGCTCGAACTCGGGATTAATAACCTTCGCCTCCCTCCGCCAGAGTGGTTGTGGTTTGAAAAGCTCAGGGTGCTGGATCTGTTCATACATATAGATTGCGCTCTGGAGAATTTGTTTGCTTCCACCGTCACCGTCCTGCTGATGGCAGCTCCGGTGTTGCACCAACTGTCGATACATTTCATCAATGGTTTCGATTCAGTACGATGGGAGAGCGAAAACTCGAGTGCGCCAGAGTCGTCGACATGGAAGCACCAGTCTCTGGAGGTGCTTCAGCTGCATGGGGTGCACCGGCTCTGTGCATCTTATGTTACTCCTTGCAGAATCCAACTTGAACTTGCTGCCTACATCATCACGAACACGCCTTCTTTGAACCAAGTACTTATCGACACCCGCGACCAATGGTTAATTAGTTCTTCCGTAGCTGAATACAGAGATCCTGATCAGGTTGAAGAAGATATCTGTGAAGCCAAGATGGAAATGGAAACCCAGCTTCAAGGCCGCTCTGCTAGCTCCAAGATTCACTTCACTTATCGATAATAACAGTTGTACAAATATGAAGAAGCTGATTTTTCATCATGCAAATGACACAATAATTTTGATCACTTTTTTTTTTTTTTCTGAGTGATATCAGTGGAAGAAAATAGTTAAACTTACAATTCTACCCAGGACCCCTAACAGAATCTAAAGAAGCCACCCCAAAAAATCAAAAGATTCTAGCTCTACACGAGACAAAAGCAGTGCTTTACGCGCCACTCTATGGGCAGCACTGTTGGCGGATCTGGGTACCGCCCTACACTCTATACAAACAGACAAAGAGCTAAGGATCTGAAGACACTCTCGTAGCACCGGACCTCCAATCGAGTCTTCAATGACACCTTGACGGATTGGATGACCACCACTTCGGAATCACCTTCGACTATCACGTGGGTCAAGGATCTTGAGGTTACGATGGAGATAGCGTCTCTAAAAGCTAGAAGCTCTGCCAGTTAAGGATTGACTATTCCTTGATGCTGCAGTCCGAGCACCAACACCACATGCCCGTCTGACCCACGAATACGAACAACCGGTGGCACAAACATCTGTGTCGACGTTGATCTTCAAAAAGTCTTCTGGTGGAGGGACCCAAGTGGCAGGATGATTTGGGATAAGAGAACTGCGGGGCGGAGGAGGAAGGAGAAGATTGGAAAATTCGAGGACCTGGTTGTAGAACTGTCTGGCTAGGGAACGGACATGAGGTTGGATAAATTCGAAGGTCACTTTAAACTTCCAGATTCTCCAAAGTAAACAGACGCATTGGAGAATGTGGAATGGGGAGGTCTCGGAGACCATGACATGTCGCCACCATAGACTAAAGTTAACAGTCTGGGCGGTCTCAATAAAGTTGCTCAATCCCACTAAAGTCCACAATCTGGTGGCTAGGGGGCATCTGAAGAATAAATGTTCAATGCTTTCTCGATGTCTTCAGCAGACAGGGCATCAGTTGAGACAGTTGACTCCACGAGTTTGAAGGGCCACTATTGTGGGAAGTATGACTTTGAGGCGTTGTCATATGTAAAATTTGAGCTTAAGCGGGACTTGGGTATTCCAAGTCTTTTTTCAAATGGGAATTTCGAGCAATCCATTGCTGACCAATCTGTTCTAGTATCAAATTGTTGGATGATTGCATTAATTAGGACATTGAGAGTATATTTATTTACGGAAGCCCTTTGAATACGCCACATTATGCTGGCGAAAGCAACAACCTTGAAAGGCTCTCTTTATTAGAGTTTTAAAACACTCTAACTCGTCATTAAGGAGACGATTTAAAAGCACAATTAAGGCTTTTCCGGCGCTAGCCGTTTCTGGCCATAAAGCCTTGTAACCGACTTGAGAAAAAGTGGTTACCAAATCCAATAATTAGAGTTTTAAAACACTCTAACTCGTCATTAAGGAGACGATTTAAAAGCACAATTAAGGCTTTTCCGGCTCTCTTTATTAGAGTTATAAAACACTCTAACTCGCCAATAATTATTATATTAAATGAGCATAAAGCTTTGTAACCGATTTGAGAAAAAAATGTTACTAAACACAATAATTATTATATTAAATGAGCATAAAGCTTTGCCACCGCCTCCGCTTCCACGGGAATGAGCCTCGTTGACGGTGATGTTGCGGCCGTCAGAGGTTCTGGCCGTTCATCCCGGCGATCGCGTCCTTCATCGAATGCTCGTCGCCGAAGGTCACGACTCCGAATCCGCGGGACCTTCCAGTCTCACGATCGTTGATGATCGATTAGCGGTGAGTAGTATAGAGAACAATAACACAGAGTAACGCATTAACAGTAACAGAGTAACAGAGAAAACGAGATCGGATTTGGAGAACTGCAGATCCTGGATCGATAAAGCCGAGTGGAGCCGAGTCAGAGCCGAGCGCTAACGGATCTTCGAGTCGACGACGTTGCCGTACGTGATGAAGTCCTCAAGGAGGGCCTCGTCGGTGGTAGCCCTGGCTAGGCCACCGATGAAGCACCTGTACACTAAATCTGTTGAAGGGAGGTTTCTTCATCTTATCGGAGCCCTCCTTTCTTTAGTTAATAATAATACTAATATAATAATAACTAAGTAATAATAATGAGAATGATGAGAGGACCTTGAGAAGGTGGTTGTGATCTAGAGAGAGCTTCCATAATGCAGAGGGAGCCGTCGGACTTGAGGGGCATGACGGTCAAAGGAGAGTGATGGTGGAAGCCGGCGGCGCCGCCTCCTCCTCCGCCGCCGTCGTAAGAGATTCCGGGGGAGGGGTTGTTGCCGGAGAGGTAGAGGGCGCCGGTGTGGTGGTAGTGTTGGTGGTGGTTGTTGTCGGCGTCCATTTTCATGTGTGGGGAGAGGGATAAGCCCAACCAGCTGCGGGTGCTGCTGCTGCTGCCGCTGCCGCCGTTATTATTAATAATTTTGATCACTTTATTTGCTCTTCCTTCTTACCATTTTTTTTTTTTTTTTTTGTTTCTTTCGCTGAATGTTGGTGTTAATATTTACAGACGTTCAGATGAACTTGTTTAAAGAAGTAGGGTCCTTCGTCAAGTTTATATCACCCTTGGTTGAATTGCGAGACCCAGCACAATGTGCCAATAGCCTCACTGGAACATACAGAAAAATGGCTTCTCTAAAATAACTTGGAATGAATAAAAAGACAAAATGGAGCATTATTATTCGACCTGTAAATGGATGTCAATCCTAAAAATGCAAACATCTGATGTGAAGTCATCTCATCTCCTCTCCAAGTTACCTCAGATATCGCATGTATCCAAAAGCGTGCAAAATTTGCTTTCAAAGGCAACTCCACGAGTTTAATCAGACTAAATGAGCATGCTGGGGGATTAACAACTCGTCATAATCATCGACAATCACCTGAATCAAGAACACCACATTTTGTCATTTATTTGAAGAGGATAAGTTTCTGAACTAAGATGGCGGGAGAGGAAAGAAATGTTGATGATGGTTACCTTGAACTTTTGGCCCCGGTAAGTGTATTCAACAAGCAACTGCTTTGGTTCTCCAGGGGAAGGATCATAGAATCCCATTATCCCCGACTTCTTCACGCCCTTGTGAAGCTAAATTGTACGAGTTCAAAAACCAGGAATTTTCAGAAACAGCTGTGCATAAACTGGGTTTTTGGGCTGAAATATGTAGTTATAAGACTGTACCTTCAGCTGCCCGGAATCATTGACCAAGAAATTTAGAGGAACTGTGACATTGATGAATTCTTCTGATGTTGTGTCGCCATGTGGTATTGTCCCGTCTTGTTTTTGCAATGCTTCCAGACTTCCGTACACTGCTCTATCAATGAGCAGCCCGTTTGCTTCTATTTGCTTGGTCTTCTTCCTGTCTGCCACAATTCGTAATAATTGCTGAGATTTCTCTGCGGATATTCTCGCCTCCCGTACCTATAACAAGGAACAATGAATGTATATTTCTTTTAATTTTGGAAAGATGTTAAACTACCAAGTTGTAGTAACAAGGATATATAGTTTACTAACCTGTGCCGAAGTTTTTTGTTTATCTTCTAAAGCTTTACCCTTTTCCCTCCAAAGTAAATAAGGCTTAGCTACAAATTTCTGCATTGACAAGCATAAACATTATGCAAAATTCACCACACGGCATCATTGGCAATGGACCAGCTCATTGAAATTATTGAGGTAAGATGGTAAAACTTGACACTATGTGAGATCACACCTCAAGCAGTAAGTACAGAGATGTTGGAACTACAAATGCTCCGATTGCAAACGCTGGATCGAAATAGGTGGAAAGCAATACCTGACATAAAGAGGTAACATCAGCATTGGAACAAGTGAAATATACTAGTACTAGTACATACTCAAATGATCCTGAAAATGTAAAATTTCACTTACTGGAATAACTAACTTTTGAGACCCACGGCGCATTTCAAATCTCCAAGAGATGCCCTGAGAGAAGTAAAGTAAAGAACATCTTCAAATACTGTGGGAAACAAACAATTGCCAAAATATAAAGGCTATGTAGAATAGCTCATTGCGTTTGCATCATCATGGTTAGTGCCCTCTATACATTATTCATGTGCGAAGAAGAGTAAATGTAAATTCATAGTCCTGTGTTTTGGTACCTGAATTCCAATCACATACATCATCCGGACAGTGGTTAAATCGGATATCTTCCTCCCACCACCAACTTCAACCTCAAGAGTAGTACTGCAATCATAATAATGAGGTTTTTTCTAATCAATAAGATAGAGTATTCATTCTGTTGTCTTTCGAATGATTCAAAGTACCTTTAATATAGAGAATAAAAACATGACTCAGAAATCATTTCCATGAGCAAAACTTTGAAGACACAATTTCCAGGAAGTTGTAACCAAACACAAGACAGTAATAACTTTTATGAAGAACAAGAATCATTCGCAAAGATTCTCTCTTTCGCAAATTTTGAACTCTGAGAAGATAAATTGAAAGATATCAGTGACACCAACTGTTTATTAATTACAGCTGAAGCCAAACTAGGAGCCATTTTTACAATCATTCACACAAGCGAGAAGCAAGAATTCAAACATCAGTTATGACTGCAAAAATCACAATTGAAATTCATTAAGAGCAACAACCTGTTGTACTTTCCAGCAATACGGGCATGAGATTCTGAGGAATAGCGATGAACATAATGAGCAGATGCCCCCAAATAACGTGTACCAACCTGCAGCAATTTCAGACCAATAAGAAAAGCAAAAGTGAAGAATTAGATACAAAATAGTATCGTCTTTGTAGGTTAAGAAGCAGAAGAGAAAGGGACTGGAGAAAGATAGAATGAAGAACCAAATTTAAGCCAGTAGAGGAAGCCAGCTCTGAAAATAGAAGTCATGTTTTTCATCCCTTACAGTTTTCGCCACACTTCTAACAGCAGTCAACTTATTTTCCCAAGTAAAATTTCCCCAATAAAGAAAATATAGCAGTACCTTCAACTCTCCACTTGCAGACATTTTATCGTCCTTCTTTTGCCACCCGACAGCAACAGATGACTGATCACCCAGCACAAATTGTATCTGCCATAACAAATTTAAAAGCAAAACTAAGGAAACAATACACCGACAGAGGTGAACTTGTAATAATAGTACTTGTTTCATAAAGTCTTCGGTTTAGATGTAGTTTTTTTTATCTTAGCCTACCAAGTGCTCTGCACTTCAATTAAATTGACATCTGGAAACGTAGGGCCACAAGACACGCATACAAATTTTGGATAAAAACTTAGTTCAATGCAGTTATAGGTGTAACAGATAGTTCACTGCAATTCTGGGTATTAACAATTACTAGGCAAAAGGACAAAGAGGATTACATTCCCATTTGTTGTCGGAGACAGCTGGCTAGTCCAGGTATTAGAGAGATTGATTGAACCATCCTGCAAAGACTTTCGGATGCCAATTGTAGCGGTTGAATGTGAAGATACATAGCTGGCCAAAAATAATAGTAAGTGATTGAACAACTTATGTGAAACAAGTTATTACACAATAGTCTTCATGAAGAGTTCCAAGCGAATGTCCATACCGAGTTGTTTGTACACCAATAAGCGATTGTAAACCAACTTGAGCAAGAAATTCCATCGACTGAACAGAAGAAAGCTGATGTCGAAGTACAGTTGAAGCAGCTGTACCAGCACCATGGTTATTAACTTCCAAATTTCCACCCATTGCAAAATTCGTATGCTTTGACAATCTAGTATTAACTTGACTAGACATAGCCATTCTGAAAAAATATACAAGATCTTAGAACAAGTCCCTTTTATAAGCAACTTAATAAGCATAGTCAGATTTCAGAAGAAAATTTCAAGCTTGATACTGAAAAAACCAATGGGGGGAAGTGATCTACCCAGCCATGATGCCATCACCATCCAGAACCTGGGGCAAGGACAGATTAGTCACAACTATTCCAGAAGGTATGAACTGTGCTGCCATCTTTTCTTCTTCCTTCTTCTGCCGCAATCTCTCGAGCTCTTCCTTTAACTCTTCGACTCTATTGGTCCTTGTTGCAAGTTCCAAACCGGCACTCAAACCTTCCAAACCATATATATCATATATCTGCCTTTTAGTCTCATCTGATAGCACTTCATACGCTTGACATATCCTTTGAAAGTTCTCAGTTGCTGTCTCCTTCATCTGGAAAAAAGACAAAGTACCAGTACAGAAATAGACTCCCTTTGCAAATCCCTTCTCAGTACACCAAGGCATTTCCAGCAATACAAAATGTTACCCAAAGGCCAAAAGGCAGGTCCAATAATTCAACAGAAGCAGGGGGAAAAGACTGACACTTTCCAGGTTCTAACTCAGAAAGAAACCAACCCAAAAGCTTGAAACCATACTAATTAACCGCGGAACTATAATCATTCAGCTATCTTGTCGAATTTGAAACAGCAGGAATGACAAATTGTATCAACTTACATGAACGTCTTGGTACTTGTCGGGGTGATAAACCTGAGCCCAGTTGCGATAAGCCCTTTTGATTTCTTCGGTGGTGGATTCAGGGGAGACTTGGAGCACGGCGTAGAGCTCCCTATTGGGAGCTCCTCCATCTTCCTCCGCATTCATCTGTTGGATCCCCCAATTGGAAAACCCGCACAAGCCCCAAGTTGAATTTATTTTCCCGCAGCCAACTATCCAGTTGCCCAGAGTTTCAGAATGTGGAGGTTGGGGTAAATTCTGGGGTTTAAGGGTTTTGGGGAGGTTTTAAGGGGAGAGGGACAACGTGGGGCCGGAATTCGGAACCGTCGGCAGTGGAGCATTTGCTGCTGATGATACTGGAACTGGCTTGCCGCCTACGGCTTTCGGCTGACGGCGGTCGATTCCCACATTGCTGCGGCGTTTGCGGTGTTTTCATGAGTTTGTGGTTTTAACTTTTATGGGCCTTATTTTAGGCTGTGGAGTTTGTTTGGGCTTATTGTTTTGTGAGTGTATGGGCTGGGTATCTGTAAGCCGGGGCCTCAGTGTCAGATGTCCAGACAAATGATAACCAGGCATCACCAAGTTTTGGAATTCAAGCATGCTCAATTTATATTTTGATGAAGCTACTGTCCGTTTGATACAAGGAATTCCTCTCCCACAGCAAGGGATCAGAGATAAGTTGGTCTGGCATTTTGAATCCTCTGGAATTTTTTTCTGTTAAATCTGCATATCTATACCTCTCTTCTTTGCAGCTTGTTTCTTCCACTAATAAACATCAAGTTTTATTTATGGATCGGATGTTATGGCAATGGGTTTGGAATAGGAAAGTGACACCTAAGTTTATATTCTTTTTGTGGTAAGGATTACATCGTATTCTTCCAACCAAGGACCAGGATACCCTACCGGACCGGCCGGTCGAACCGGAAAAACCGGAAACCGGAGGTAAACCGGCGCAATAGGGCTTTGTACCCTTTAATAACCTGCCGGGCGGTATTTGCGGTTGGACCGCATTGGGCCGAAATTTTGGCCGGTTTAAAACCAACCCGGCGGTCCCTTCATTTAACACAAACGGCGCCGTTTGATGAAAAAAAAAAACGGAATGGAAGGGAAGCAGAGACTCACAAAACCCTACCTGCCTCTCGTCTCTCTCTCCCAGCACTCAGCAGCCGCGTCGCGCCGCTCTGGTCTCCACTCTCCCCGCGTCGCCAGCATCCCCATCAACCCCAGCAACCGGCGATCAACACCACCGGCGATCAGAGATCGTGGCCGCCACTTTCCCGCGACCCCGCCATCACTTCCTTCTTCTTAATCCAAGTTGAAGGTGTGGATCTCTCTCTCTGTTCTTCTTCCCTGCACGCAGAAACAAAATCATTTCAACCTCAAAATCCATTTTAAATCACAGAAAACTGAAATTTGTTTGGAAACAGCGGTTTGTAACAAATTTGGGAAGCTTGTATTCTGTTTTTTTTTTTCAATTACTGTTCTTATCCCTAGTCTGTGTGGACCTCGTAATTCCCATACCTAGTTGCAGGTGTAATTTATGGTTTTCTACGGCTGAATTCTTTTTTATGGGTTGTTAATGTCAAGATCATAAGTGTAGCGCACAAAAATCATTCTAATATAAAATCTCTATGGATAAATTGTTGAATCGAACAAAGATGTCGATCAGGATAAAATAACAAACATGGTGAATTTTTTTTTTTTGGTAATGCAAACATGGTGAATTGATTTGGTATTGATTGTACTAGTTTCTAAAAATGCATTTGGATGATTATGAGGTTTATTAGGTATTGAAATCTCGCACTTTGTTGAATGTTACCTAAGCTTATTTACCCTTTTACAGTTTTTCAGGCGGTATAATCCGGTTTTATTCCGGTATTTTCCCGGTATGGTACCCTAATTTTGTCGGTACGGTTTTTTAACAAAAAAATAATTTTTTTATTCCAAAAACGGTATTTGCCGGTAGGAAACGGTTGAACCATGGTTGTACCACGATTTACCATGCCAAAAACGATGCCGGTTTGATGGCCGGTACGGTTTCGTAATCCATGCTTCCAACTAAGAAGGCATTGGCGATTCGAGGTATGGATTTAATTCCCATTTGCCCGGTTTGTGGTAGAAAAGAGGAAACAGTTGAACACTTGTTCTTCTCCTGTTTGGTCCAGATGAGGATTTTTTGATTCTGCAGGTGGTTTGCTTGCTTTGGCGGTTGTGGAAGAATAGGTGTTCGGTGGTGTTCCAAGCAAAGCAACTCCAGTTGCATGTTTTAGCGCATCAATGGTTACATCAGGTTAAGGAAGTGGAACAAGCTTTACTTCTTCCTAACAATGTCTCTCGTACGGAACCTTATGTTACCAATCCATTGCAGGCGTTTCGTGCTAGTCATGGTATCCGGGCTACATTTGACGCTACAACTTCATCTCAAGGGTATGGAACAATAGGATATGTTTTTTTTTTTTATCCTTCAGGTGGGACTATCGGGGCTGCTGCTGGGAGGTATGATGGAATTGCAGATCCTTGCATCTTGGAAGCTTTGGGGATGAGGGATTGCTTGGCAGATTGTTACAGGAGGAGGTTGCAAGGGGTATCCCTTGGCGGTGATGCGAAATTGATCATAGACAAATGTTTGGCTAGGGACGCGGCTGACAGCAAGATTGGTGTGCTCCTGCAAGAAATCTTCCATCTTCTTGAAATCGTTGATGTGTCTCAGGTTGTGTTCTTGGGTAGAGTTCGAAACAGAGCGGCTCATTGTGTGGCCCGTGAAGCTCTCAGTATGTCGCCTCAATTGTTTTCGAGGTTCGACTTCTGTTCTTGGTTTCGTTCGAGGGATGTTTGAACCCTCTTGCTACAATGTATCTGAACGATTTCCTCTTATAATGAGTGATCTATTGACAAAAAAAAAAGTTGAATTTTTTGTTAACAAAACCAAAGCTGAAGATTCAAAGGAAGTTTTTGTAATACTTTAGGAGAAGATCATATCGACAAGGCACGAGAGAAATAAGAAATTAATAATAATTAATAAGACGCGTTTCAAGAAGAGATCTTGTAAGAACTTCAAAGTTAAACATGCTAACTGTGGAGTACTACAATGATGGGTGAGCTTATGGGAACCGGGAAGTCACATTTATATGCAATACAAGACAAAATCTGTGAAATTTTAGACCCAAAGCGGATAATATTTTGTCAGAAAAAAGTTGGGGAAGTTACAAGTAATATCAGAGTCTTCCTATGTCACTCTTGAACGATGTTAGGGAAAACGAAAATGTTCAATAGCAAAGCGAGAGATCGAGTGTGTGCATATAGCTCTTTGACCCATGAAACCATCCTCTTCCTCCCCCCTTCTTTCTTACTTTTTTTTGGGGGGGGGGGGGGCATGTTGACTTTTTGAGAGATTGAAAATTAGGTACGTATTTGGAAGGTTTCATCTCATACAGAAAAATATATTATTAGCAATAATTGTCATGAACCAGTTGATCCCAATAACTCGAGTTGTTGGGAGAAGGTTCTGCTGGATCTTATACCACTCTCACGCCCCCTCAAACGAAAGCCAACCCATGGGCTTGAAGTTTGCACAGGTCCACGGGGGTCGTGGAGATTCGAACATATGACCTTTCGGTTCTAGGCTCTGATACCATGTCATGAACCAGTTGATCCCAATAACTCGAGTTGTTGGGAGAAGGTTCTGCTGGATTTTATACCACTCTCAATAATGATATCAAATATTGACGGAGCTCTGCTCTATGTAGCCTAAGTCTCTAAGAGCAACTAGAGCACCCCTTCGATATTTGGTTAAAGATTACAATCGTGTATGTATATGTTGAGAAAACACTAACTAGTGTCACCACAATTGACTATTTGTTTATACTTATAAAGGATAGGTATATTTTTTATTTTATTTTGATAAGGGTGATATAGGTTTATTTTTTGTGATTAGGTATTACACTACTACTTAAGGGATCGAACCTTGGATCTCTAGGTTCAATGTTAGTAGTATTACCATTAGACCAAACCCTTGTTCGTTACACATATTTTTTTTTATGTTCAACCTTTCATTATTTTAAATCATCACTTTGCTATCACGATAGAGAACGAATTAAAGGTGAACAAGTGAAAACTAATATGTCTAGAAATTAAGATTGCACAAAGTTGATGCAATCTGATGACTTGTTAACACAAAGCAAAGAAGACAGATTTTGAAAAACAAAAAGTTCAAATATATACTTCCACACTTGTCTGAATTTGAGTTTCGAATTGTCATGAGATGGTATTCTTCACTTGACCATCTGCTTCATTTTTATCAGGCTCGAATGCACATTCTCCACCCAGAAAAAAAAAAGGAACTAAAGGATACATGTTGGATCTAACCCTTTTCCACGATTCTTAAACGAGTCAAAGAAACATGGAATGGAAGTGATTGAAATTTGAATGGCACGCAGAGAACGTTTCAAAATGAAGGCGCAAGTGGCAACCAAGCAGCGGACTTTGGATTTTGGAAGCTCACCACCATTATTAGTCCCCCCATTGCAATTTGCAATATCAGTCAGACGGGTGGTAGTACGCGTAGGACGAGCCGCCAATTCACGCCACACCAACTTGCAATTAACTAACCGATCATCATTAGAGATCCACTGGAGGAGACAAAAGCCATTCACCCACTTTCAGTTGGGTGACCCGACCGACTGGGCCCGAACGTATGGATAATTGTCTGATGGATTTGACCAGTTTTAGTTAACGGCGGCCATTGCCCACCAGCCACCATGTTTCACATATGGTCGTATTATATGCCGCGATTAGCATGACAACCTGGTTCATTTTGCTAATTACAACTTACAAGTAAGTGTGAATATAATATGATACATTAAAAGTTATTAATATGTCATTTCGAGCTAATTCAACTCATTCCTACATCTCCGAGAAAGTATATCTTAATATTTTATTTCGCGTGAGTTTTTTCCCCCATTATGGATTTTTTTACAAGATAGTGTTTTGACGAGTGATCAGGCACAATGAGCAATGATAATTTACGAACGGGAGATAGCGTGTACGATAGAAATGACCAATGCAGTGACGGTGTTATTCTAAAATATGGTAGAGTGGTTTCGGTATTAAATACTTTTAAAAAAGTAAACACATCAAAAACCATAATTATTTTTGTTGTTGTTGAATTTTCAGTGATTTGTTTTGGTTTCAGCGGGTCCTCCACTCCAATTCCTAGCTACTCGATCGGTTATTCTACTCGATCTACACACAACGCGGCTAAGCTATGTATTAATGTATGAACGAACTCTGTTGCGTGCGATCATCTATTCTCAAGTCCCCCCTGCCACCCAATTTTTTATTAAGTTACTAATAATAATAATTCCTGGGCAATGACTCATTAGGATTAGGGAGTGGTTTGTCCGCTTAATCATTGTTTAACTCGGACG